TTCTTTTTAAAGTTAATAAAGAATAGAGTTTTAAAAATAAAAAGTGTTAAAAAATACAAATAATTTAACGAAAACAAGTTTTTATTTTTTTATTTATATCATATTGTAATTTGTAATACTTTTTATAAACTATTAAATATTTATATAATGAAAACGAATTATTTTTTGAAATACATTTACAAAAAATATATTTTTTTGATTTCTTTTTAAAATTAATAAAATGTAAACCCTCCTTCTTTATCCGGGTTTGGGACCGGCTACATCAATTTTAAGTAGACGGAGTTAAAAATTGTACACGAACAACTTGTTGTAACGTGTACAGTTTTTTAAAGAAAATTAAATTTAACGATTAAAAAATAAAAAAAATTGATTAATATAATTAAATTAAATATCACTTACCTGACGACATGCAATTTCAGCGTATTTATCTTGTAGTCGAAAATGAGCGTCCTGTCAATCTTTCACACACATTAACGCTTCCAAAACATCTTCTTTCAGTCGGCTCCTAACATCGGTCAAAACCCTTTTATCTGCACTAAAAGCACACTCCGAAGCAACAGTGCTAACCGGAGGTGTCAATAGATCTTTCACAATTGTAGAAACAATTGGCCAACGTCTTTCGTACTTTCACCAGAATTCAATTACTTCTTATGAATTTTTTTAATTGTTCTGTCTGTTGGCATATTATGATTGAAATAATCAATTAATTCGACAGGCATCGCATTTTGAGTTTCGACCGATGTTTGATGAGATGCAGATGTAGACGACATGGCACTAGATGAACACATTGCAGTTGTATCATATTTAAATGTAGTAATGACCTGAAATAAATTCATTATTTCCGCAGCATCTTCTTCAGTTTCAGCAAAGGAGTAGGTGTAGCAGAGGGTACCCGACTAACATTCGCACCCATTCTTTCCGCATATAAATCATACATTCCACATAATGTTTGCTCTAAATTCTTATAAGTGATAGGTGCATCAAGTATTAAAGTTTTATTAATTTGATCAATTACGTATTTAGTTCCCGAAATATTATATCGGGGGTCCATTGCGCATGTTAAAGGAAATAACATAGGCAGTTCTTCCCAATATTTTCTAAACTTTAATTCCATAACAATTAAAATTTCACTAAAAGTATGATCATTTTTATATTTATGGAATGTTCTTGCAATTATATAAAGGCATTCAAGCACCATACAGCTTGTGGGATAATAAACGCCGGATAAAATCTTTGTGGTCTCATAAAAAGATGTCAAAAATTGTTTAACTTTCAAAAATAAAATCCAATCTGATTCATTTAACATACCATCGTCATCACTTCTAAAATGTCTATTGTTATAAAAGTCAGTTATTAAATTTTCGAAACCTTTACATGATTTTAATAGCAAGTATGTAAAATTCCATCTATGACCTACGTCGCTAACAAATGTTTTAGCAGTCATCACCCCTAGTTCGGCACAAAAATCTTCAAATACTTGTTTTCTACTAAGAGAAATCGTAATATATACTAATGTATTCATAATCCTTTGAAGTTTATCCTTTATATGTTTTAAACCATCTTGCACAATTAAATTCAAGATATGACACACACAACGAATATGAAACAAATACTCACCAAAATCAGGTTGAAGTGTCCTACACAATTTATCGACGACTACCTTATTAACACTAGCATTATCAAAAGTAAAAGATCGAATTTTAGTCTCACAATGATATTCTCTAATAATACTGATTATAGCATTATATATATTATTAGCATTGTGAGAAAATTCAATAATTCTAAAAGCAATAATTTTCTTATGCATACACCAAAGTGGGTCTATATAGTGTGCAGTTGCAGCTATATATGCTCTTTTATTAACCCCTTCCCATATATCAGAAGTTAAGGATATAACACCCCCATATTATTGCAAATCCATAATTAATTGTTGTTTTGAATTATTGAAATAATTTATTGTATTGGCACGAAGAGTGTTTCGACTTACCCCAACGTACCTCAATTGTAGATATTCTTTCACAAACGAGACGAAATGTTGTTGTCTGTAATAGCCAGAGGCAACTCAGTGGCGGCAACAAATTTCACCATTCCGGTTCGAGTATCGTCCTCCGAATACACCCACGTGGATAGAGGTGAAGTTGTAGAACCGGCGCCTGGACTGCCAAATTGCAATTGTGTTTGACCAGCTAGAAGAAGTCCATATCTGGCTGCACATGATTTGTAGTGGCGGTTGAGATGAGTGGTACCAATTCCTTTTTGTCATGCCAATCTTTGTTGGCAGTATTTACATACTGCTTTAGATTCTGCAAAGCCATCAACGACTTTTTCCGTTGAAATCAACTTAAAGTGATTCCAACATTTTGCTTTTTTTTTTGGCCTTTCGCTTTCCCCTCGCATCTGGGATATTTAATTGCTGATTTTCATCTTCATGTTCCGCTTCGGGAACGTTAATATCATCCAAATCAATTGGATTGTGGCTTTCCTGACCGTGAATGTGAGCATCTTCAGGTATCGGTATGTCATTTAGACCGGCAAATTCATTTGGAAATTGACTTTGCGGCGTCCTAGGTGATTCTCCATGATGTGGCTCACATCTTGTATCAAACAAGCTCTCAACAAATGAACGTTGATCCATTTCTGTGATTGTTTATGATGAAATCTTGATTACATAAATATAAATGTAGTGAGATTGTGAGAATTGAGAATTGGATGAATTGAAATTGTAACTAATAAACTGTAAAAATTGAATTGATATTAAGGATGTAAACGAGCCGGGCCGAGCCGGCTCACGAGCCTAAAGTTTCGGCTCCGGCTCCGGCCGG